TGGTCAAAACCTACCCAAGGTGGTACAAGGAAGGAAAATCGGTGAACCAGTGACAGGGTCATGGATGACCAAGGCTCACTGATGCTCTCAGGGAGTGAAGGCTGGTCTCTGTAGTCCAATTGATGGACTACTGTAGGTCATATTGCTGAAAAAGTTAATGCCGGTTCTGATAGAAAGGTCTCTGAACACACAGAGCATTGCAGTTTGTGGTGTATGGGGCTGCGTAGCCGCAGACCAGTCAGGCTGCCCATGCTGACCCATGTCTAATCGACAAAAGCGCCTTCAATGGGCACATGAGCATGAGAACTGGACCACAGAGCAATGGAAGAAGGTGGCCTGGTCTGATGAACGACATGTTTTTACATCATATGGATGGCTGGGTGTTTCGCTTACCCGGGGAAGAAATGGCACCAGGATGCACTGTGCGAAGAAAGCAAGCCGGTGGAGGCAGTGTGATGCTTTGGGCAATGTTCTGCTGAGAAACCTTGGGTCCAGCCATTCATGTGTATGTTATATTTCGGCCGGTTTGTCAGCTAGCTAAGGGTCAGGATGTAGCACGGATGTCGGGAGCTGCAGTGAGACACGTCTGCTCAGTCTCACATCCCGGCCACGCCCCCATGTGTATGTTACTTTGACACGTCCCACCCACACAAACATTGTCGCTGACCAAGTACACCCTTTCATGGAAACTCTATTCCCTGATACCAATGGCCTCTTTCAGCAGGATAATGCGCCCTGTCACACTGGAAAAAAAATGGTTGAAGAATGGTTTGAGGAACGCGATAACGAGTTTGAGTTGTTGACTTGGCCTCCAAATTCTTCAGACCTCAATCCAATCGAGCATGTGCTGGAAAAACAAGTCCAATCCATGGAGGCCCCACCTTGCAACCTTTAGAGGTCCAGTGGAGTCCATGCCTCCACAGGTCAGTGCTGTTTTGGTGACAAAAGGGGGACCTACTCAATATTAGGTGAATGGTTATAATGTTATGCATGATCAGTGTACAATGCATTGTAGTGACATGTACATCATCCCTGATAGACTGGGTCCCCGGGCGATCATCTGACCCTAACCGCAGGCCATCGGTGTATTTTTTATTACATCCAAACAGCCGTGAACATCTGCGGCCACTGTCAGCCTCTCATTGCTTTGTACAGGCTTCCCTGCCACAGCTATTCGCACATACCTGTGATTCCAACAACAAGAATCCACTGATTCTTGCCACTGGAATTTGCAGTGTAGTCCCCAATTAGAACCCAACTATAAAGTAGAGGAAGAGGCTGTATTCTTTGCTCCTGCGCTCTCCTCTTTGCCCTGATGCTCTGGGCTGCGGGTGGTCCCTCAGCATCATCATGCACAATGCATGGCTATTAGTCCTTCATTGTAGTTGGAGGAGGTATGTGCACGACTGCTGGCCGCAGCGCCTCAGAAAGGAGGCTTTGCGGGACCAGTCACACAGATGGAGGGTGCCTGCCAGAGCAAGAGATAAATGTATTACATGTTATTACTCTACCCCAAAGGGGGGCACTGAAAGGGTATCTTTTCTTGTGCCTGGAGTTGTGATTTAAAATATTAAAGTCAAAAGGTTTTTATGCTTTTTCAAAAGGTGATGAAATCACTCACAATAGATGCTTGATGTTTAAAAGTTTTAGTTTCCTTCAGAATTAGCTGGTCCACTGAGCAGTGGCCATGATTTCCTGTTTGCATGGCTCCTTTCCCTTGCAGGTTCCTATGGAGCCACCTTTATGCGTGTTAGTAAGCTGTGTGTGTGTCTACAAACACACAGGCACAGCAAGGCAAGACACTCCCCTACTCCATACCCCCATCTCCTCCTTCTCTAAGCTAGTATATGGATGGCTACTGGAGACTGTTCTATCCTTTGTAATCTTGTACTGGACAGGAAGTTTAGGGAAGCCAAGCTGATAGAGTTGGAGCCAGCTGTTCTGAAACATGAAGCACATGGGCAAACATGTAATGAGATATATATATACACACACTATATATAGTGTGTGTGTGTGTGTGTGTGTGTGTGTGTGTGTGTGTGTGTGTGTGTGTGTGAGATATCAGGATTTATTGTTGAAAAGTTTTGAGTTTAATACTACTTTAATTTCAGGCTTTTGTAATCCTCTATACAGCACAGGCTGGGAGAGAGAGGGGCAGCACTAGTGGCCAATAGGCATGTGCTGACAGGAAACATACCAAACAGAAGGATAGGGTAGAAAGATGAACTTATCAGTCTGTTGCTGCTCCATGACTTGACCATTGGTAGGCTGGGGGAGGGAGCTGACCAAGCTGTGTTGCTGAACTGCAGCAGAGAAAAGTCAGGTCACCCACCTGGCTATGCTGTGTGTCGGGACTGTGTACAGCCTGGGATTGGGTGGACAGAAATACGTATATTTCAGCTGCCAAATTATTTCAGTGGTATATGTACCTGTATGGAGTGCAGGCTGGGCTATTTCTACCTGCAGGAGCAGCAGGAAGCTGAAATAAGAGTGTATGTGTTATTTAGGAAAGACATAATAAGATTTGTTACTTAATGTCAACCGTTGAAAGTTTCTATTCCAATGAAAGCACGTATAGCCACAAACACGGGTATAAAATCTGAGGAAACAATGTTATAGACACCGGACAAAACTATTAAGTGACAAAAATATCTTTTATTCTATAATTTAGTTCATTACTTCACATTTATGCCTTTTCAGTGGATAAAGTAACATGAAAATGTGACACAGTCAGTAGTCATTTGCAGTTAGAGGTCCACGTCAGTAATAATGCAACATGCCGAATGAACAGCATAGAAACTTCTCCAAAAGACACAGCTAGTACAAAAGAATAAAAAAGTGTACCTTTTAAAAAGGCAATTCCAACCAAAAAAGCTTTTCTCTGTTTCAGATGTCGCAGGGTGGGGTGTGATCTCATGTTGGGTTTTTTTACAGTGGGAGATAACAATCACATCACAAAATTGTGCTTTGTGTGTTGCATATATCTTGTAACACAAGTAACAGCTTTAGATGCTGCATGGTCACCAACTACCCAATGTTGTCACCGGGATTGCAATATGGATTACTGCCAGTTAAAGCGTACCTACAGCCAAGAAGAAAAACGTAATATATTGCAGCTTACCAGTCTATAGATGTAGTGACTGCATTAGTTTTCTGTTTTCAGGCCAAGTACATTTTCTGCATGTACAGAAAAAAACCTGCTACATAGTAGGGTAGTGGGGATAGGGAAGAATGGAGTAGAAAGGACAATGAGGAAACAACATTGACAGAGAAGGATAGAAAGCATTGAGAAAAGACAATGAAAAACAAACACTGCAGACATATACATGGGTAAGAAAGAGAAAGCTTGTAGCCAGAGGGAGCATGGAATGGGTATATTTTGTAAAATAAAGGATGGCTGCATGTATTAAGATATGTCTTAGGCAGTTTCTAGCCACAGTCTGCAAGTGGTCACCTTACAAAAGTAGAGTTAGGACAAAACTACCAACAGCACCAATAGTACCATCATTTCAGATACCCCAAAGATATAAAATTGTGAGCACCTTGGCTGTTTTGTTTTTTGTTACATAATATACGTACCAAACACAAGTATACATATTTTTTTACATGGATCCTTCCAACCAAACTGGTATTTAATTGTGGGTGGACACAGGTCGGTTCAATCACCTACAGTCTCCTTATATCTTTTGGTGTCCCCAAGGAGTGGAGAAACCACCGGAATTCTCAGCCGTGATCCCACTGGAGAGCTACAGGATCACTAAAGTGTAAGACCTCCTTGTGAGGCCTATGTCACACTAGCACTCCTGTCACTGGTAGCAACAGGATCACTAAAGTGTAAGACCTCCTAGTGAGGCCTATGTCACACTAGCACTCCTGTCACTGGCAGCTACAGGATCACTAAAGTGTAAGACCTCCTTGTGAGGACTATGTCACACTAGCACTCCTGTCACTGGTAGCAACAGGATCACTAAAGTGTAAGACCTCCTTGTGAGGACTAGGTCACACTAGCACTCCTGTCACTGGCAGCTACAGGATCACTAAAGTGTAAGACCTCCTTGTGAGGATCATGTCACACTAGCAATCCTGTCACTGGCAGCAACAGGATCACTAAAGTGTAAGACCTCCTAGTGAGGACTATGTCACACTAGCACTCCTGTCACTGGCAGCAACAGGATCACTAAAGTGTAAGACCTCCTTGGGAGGACTAGGTCACACTAGCACTCCTGTCACTGGCAGCTACAGGATCACTAAAGTGTAAGACCTCCTTGTGAGGACTAGGTCACACTAGCACTCCTGTCACTGGCAGCTACAGGATCACTAAAGTGTAAGACCTCCTTGTGAGGATCATGTCACACTAGCAATCCTGTCACTGGCAGCAACAGGATCACTAAAGTGTAAGACCTCCTAGTGAGGACTATGTCACACTAGCACTCCTGTCACTGGCAGCAACAGGATCACTAAAGTGTAAGACCTCCTTGGGAGGCCTATGTCACACTAGCACTCCTGTCACTGGCAGCTACAGGATCACTAAAGTGTAAGACCTCCTTGTGAGGACTAGGTCACACTAGCACTCCTGTCACTGGTAGCAACAGGATCACTAAAGTGTAAGACCTCCTTGTGAGGATCATGTCACACTAGCAATCCTATCATTGGCAGCAACAGGATCGCTAAAACGTTCACTCCTCCTATCCTACAGTGTTGTTACCTCAGTGGCTGAAACACTGCCAAACAGTAATAAAGCAGAAACAAAGCGACGGGTTGCCGGTTTGGCCAACCAGGCATTGTTGCTACTCTTTAAGCAATCCTGTCGGTGGCACAGGATTGATAGTATGACATGGGCCTTATGGCCTTAACAAATGAGCAGACCCGGGAATTATGTAGACATCACACCTCTGGAGTACCCAAAAACGAAGGCAATTAAATCCTCCGGCATCTATCAAACACGGAAACACTTTTTTGGGTGGAGTGACCCTTCAAGTTAATAAAGGCACAGGTGAATATTTTTTTTTTTTTACTTAAACAGAGTTTCATAATCAATGTACCATACCAACTGTCCAGATGTTGGTTTTATTCCAAAGATGGGCCATTTATTGGGATTGCTTTCTGCTCTGCTAATGAGAGTTACAATATCGTGCTTCCCTTTACCTAGGACAAGGACGGCGACTTTCTGGGCTTTATTAATGAGTGGAAGGCTAAGGCTCATCCTGTCGTTAGGCTTCACTGGACTTTTTGAAAACACCACCATTTCATCTCCTGTGATCCCATTCTTGGAGCCGGGGAAGATGGAGGCAGTATGGCCATCATTCCCCAGTCCCAAAATCACAAGGTGAAAGCTTGAATTGCTGACCAAGGCAGAGATATCATGAGCATAGACCTGGGTACCCTGATCTTCTTCAGCACAGAGCCTTTGGTTCCTATGTACAGGCATGGGGTGGATATTTACATAGGGGACTCGGACATGCTGCAACAGATGTCTTTCAAGGCTGCCAAAATTAGAATCAATATCTGTAGATGGCACACAGCGCTCATCCACCAGCCATAAATGAGTGTGTTTCCACGGGAAGCCATGATGGTGCCTAGACAATCTCTGAAACAACGCGATAGGGCTGGAGCCCCCAGAGAGAGCCAGGTGGAAGCTGCCCGAGATTTTCACAGCTTCTTCTGCTGCTCTTTGTATGTCCTGCGCTAGTTGCTGTATCAGCTGTTCAGCCCAGTTAGACACCATGGTGTTCCCGAGAAATATGGACTGTGTTGAAGCAAATGTATTTGTCTTTTGCTCCATGCCCATTATCTCTAAATGTTCATCCGTCAGAAAACGTAGCTCGCCATGCTCGGTCACAAAGTCTAGCAAATGAACGGTCTCTGAACCTCCTGGATAGACTCTTGGTGGAACTCTCTCCAGTTCCTCCAAGACGGGAGTCCAGAACTTCCAGGAAGCCAGTAGATTTTTTGTTGTGATGAAGGAATCCTTCTTACCCCGATAAATATTTGAGATAAGTATGGAGTAAGCTTCTCTTTCTTGAAATGGACGGTATACATAATAATCAGATAGAGGCTGACCAAACACGAAGACATTCGAGATTTCAGACACTTCTCCCCACTGACTGGGTACAAGGCTTGGTTTGAATAAATTGCGACTTACTAGCACAGCTGGAAAGCCCAGGTCTCCGTGTCCAATGTTGAATACCACCTGCCTGGGCTTGCAAGGATTTTTCACCGTGTCCCGGGCAGATTCTTTTTGCAGGCAGAAAGCATTTTCTTTAAACACAATTCTGACATATGAAGTCCTCTCATCCAAATCTTTGCCCGATACTAAGAGAAAGGGCACTCCTTCCCACCGCATGTTGTCAATATAGATAAGGGCACCTTTAAAGAACAAAAAAGCACTGCTTATACCAGGTTTTACTGTACATTTGTGCCATTTTCTGAATGTCCTGACATTTTACATATTTCTATTCATTTCTTCTGCTTATATTTTACTAATATTTTATGTTAAAAAAGAGCATCAGGCTGTAGTTTAACAAGGAACTGGCCTCTTTCTAAAATGCATAAAACCCCCTCCCCCCAAAAAACAGATGTGTGCATTGCTCATAATAGGAGATTTTGAGTGATCCTGTCACTTTATAGGGGCTACTGGCAGCATATATAGCAGGACTGTCCAACTCGCAGCCCTAGGAAGCCTCTTTTGAAGCTTGCATCGTGGAAGGGAAGTGTCTAGTGCTGGAACGCTCTGGGAGTTTATTTTATTCCCATTGACACCAACAACATGGGACTCATTTTACTCCCAATGACACCAACAATATGGAGCTTAATTCATTTCCATTAACATCAATAACATGGGACTCCCAATTTTGCTCCCAATGACAGCAACGATGAGACTTCTTTTACACCCACTAGCGCCAACAATATGAGGCTTGTATTATTCCCATGGACACAACAACAAGGGATTCATTTTGCTCCCAATGAGAGCAACGACGAGACTTATTTTACTCCCAGTGACATATAGGGGGGGATACAACTGCAGTACACAGGTGAACAGAGGCCACCTGAAATTTGAGCTTCCCAGAAGGGGTAATCTCCATTATCTTCATATCTTTTCTTGGGTTTAGTACAATACACTCTGGTCCTTTTCCACCATGCACTGGCCTTGGGCACTTCATACAACCGAAACAGGGTTAGGTGCAGCCCTAAAGTCAACTTGTGAAAACAAACATGGCCATTGGGGGGTTCTTTAGGTTGTACACCTCTAATATAAAGAAAGTAGGTTCTCATGTGCATACACACATTTAACATCCCCAGAGCCCCCAAGCTCAGGGTACTTTATTATGCAAAAATAATCCCATACTATTGGTCAGCAAGGCTGCCCATCACAGAAGTGAGTCAATTGTAAGATGAGGCAGTCTAGTATTTTAACCGTAGTATCTGGTCAAGCATTACCACCCTTTCATATAACGGAGTAGAATTAAGAAAAGCAACTTACTTGCAAAGGTCGGTGTTTTAGTGAAAAATTGTGGATGTTTTTCCAACTCCTCTCTGACCTGTTGTACATAGTTTTGGTACTGACCAATGACAGTCCTGCTGCTGTCCAGGGGATGCAGAGAATCCAATAACTCCAGTTTGGCTCTCAGGACATCATCTGAGTTGGTGAGATTATTTGGCACTTCCATGGCAACCAAGGTTAAAATTTCTGTCAGGTGGTTCTGGATGACATCACGTATGACACCATATTCTTCATAAAAACTAGTGCGGCCTTAAGTAGAAAACAAAAAAAAACGAGAGGAGGTGAGCGCTGATCACTCGGGAAGGGGAGATCAGGTAAGTAAAGGCAACATTAAAGTGCCGGGGCAGCCCCACTGCAAGGAGAGTTTCGTGTCTTCCAGGGAGACTTTAAAGCAGAACTCCAGACACCGAAAATGTTATTTGAATATACTCTTCAATTATCACAAAGGACAGAAATCCACTTTGCCTTTGTAAACCCAGAGATTACCATGTAAAAGTAACAGCGACATCATCACAGTGCCGTACATAGACTATGCAAAGAGCAGATCTGTGAACCCAGCAGGCCCCACCCACTACAGACTGCCTACAGAAAACTACAGGAGGGGGCGGACACAAGACCAGTCACTCTGCACAAGAAGAGAGAACAGCAGTGATCGGTCTTTAATACAGGAAGCTCCTGCACAGAGGCAAAGTTTCACACTGGATTACTGCACAGATCTGGAAAAAATTTACCAAATTTCAAGTAGGAATATGTATATTTGCTTATCGTAGAGTTCAGCACACTGTCTGCATCCAAGTGCGGGCACCCGGACCTGCATGGATGTGCAGATTTGGGTCGGCGTATAGGTGTGTGCAGCCATGTCTTCCCAGAAGGAAATACAGGCGGCTGCATGCAATTACACACAGCACCGGTCCCGCCCGGGAGCAAGTCTTTGCAACTGCGTGCATGCCGTACAGATGTGCACACACATGTGAATGAGCCCCTAAGGACAATTGGTCTTTAGGTCAATCAAGACATTAAGCTCTGGGTATTTTGTCTTTAAAAGGGTTTTCTAAGACAGCAGAATGTAGATCTCCATACCTTTTGCATCAACAGTTTCCTTCATGACAATTTCCACTCTGTCCACATGCTGCCTGTTCCAGATTGAGTCTAGCTGCTTGTAGTTGCGTCGTCTAAAAGGCAGAATCTGTTCAACTGCCTGTAAAAAAAATGAATCACAAATATAATGGACCAGCAATGCTCAGCAACAATCCCTTTTAGTAACCTGGCATGAGAGAAACTGACAGCTAGTACAGAATAAATGGTCACCAGCACTCCACGTTTTCTTCAATACGGAATCCTTTTATTCATTTTAGCAGGTCATATCAATATGTGTGGCAACGTTTCGGAACCTATCCGGTACCTTCATCAGGCAAACAAAGTGCCTGATCAAAGTGCCATCACTATGTTTGACTGATGAAGGGACCGGACAGGTTCCGAAACGTTGGATTAAACGTAAAAGGATTTCGTATTGAAGAAAACTTGGGGAGTGCTGGTGAACATTTAGTCTGGGTTGTAAGTACTTGGCGGCGCCATCTGGGGCCACTTCAGACAACACATGTTGTCTTAAATCTCACTCCCCATACACCTAACATGTGAACAGCTATGCAAAAGAGATTTGCAGTGCATGATGGCCACTAGATGGAACCGTGGAGCATAGGAAATGAATATGCTCCTTGACGCCACCTAGTGGCCATAACGTGCTGCAAATCTCATTTGCATAGCCGTCCGTTATGGGAACGGTTTATAAATCACTCACTTAAACATTTGCTGTACACAGTGCTCAGTCATTGAGCATACTGTGTGAAACACATAATAGTTCAGGTTTTCCTTTACTGCCTTTTAGTATTAAATAAAAAGGTAGAGATTTCAGCATAGCCAATGAGCAATCATCTATTATATTCCTTGTACCTCTGGGAGGGACTGCAACTAGAGACTGTTTGTGGGCTGATATGTGGACTGTCCCCAAAGGTGCGTTGTAAATCAGCCTTGTGCAATCAAAGGCTCATTCCCTTCTCTACCAGAAAAAATACTAAAGCAGAGATTTTTACAGAAAGCTTACAATGCTCAATATTCTTTTTTGGGAGTGAACCTTACATGGCTCAAGTATCGCAAGCAACGCTCAAAGCAGTTGCTCAACACATAATGGTCTGTGTACAACTGACCTAAGGCACTCGGATTTGAGATGATTTTGGTAAAATCAGACGATTGTAAAGTCTGTGGGTGGGAGGAGATTCCTGGAATGATTGTTCTCAATGGAAAGGCTGACTGGCTGGGTTACATTGTTTCCCTTAATTATAATAGTAATATCTGACAGGACGGTGCCAGGGATAACTACTCCTATTACTCCAAAGCATGAACACGTGGGCTCTGTGGTAATGTTTTGCATGTTTATGAAAAAAGTATGAACAAAACAAACCAACCAAACTATCTTTAGATTATTGGATCATGCTTGTATATCTAACCAGTATTATCGGTTTATGGCTGACCTTGGCACGCCCGCAATCTATAGCAGCCTGTAACTCTGCGCACTCCTAGTTCTATGCAAGAATGGTCATTGACAGCCGCAGGTCTCACACCAATGATCAGGAACATGGAACTGGCATGGTTCTTGAACAAGTGAATCCATGGCAGCCAATCATGGTGATCATGTGAGGTTTGTTTATAACCAAACCTGCTGGCTGCACCCCTACATGGGTGTCACACCAACGATCAGGAACATGGAACTGACATGATTCCCAGTCAAGTGATCACCATAACACAGAATTATATTGATCATGTGAGGCTGGCTGCAGCTGTCACTCTACCCCTCTATGGCTGTCACGCCAAGGATCAGGAACATGGAACTGGCATGGTTCTCTTCGACAAGTGATCACCATAACACAGAATAATATTGATCATGTGAGGCTGGCTGCAGCTGTCACTTACTCCTCTGTGGATGTCATACCAAGGATCGGGAACCTGGAACTGGCATGGTTCTCGTTTAATCGATTATTTAAAAAGTTGACAACTTTTTCAATAATCGATTATAATCGATTATGTCGATTAGTTGTTGCAGCCCTAGTCAAATGATCACCATAACACAGAATCATAATGATCATGTAAGGCTGGCTGCAGCTGTCACTCTACCCCTCTGCAATGAATGCACAGAATGAGTCACAGTTGTAACCAACGCATACCAACCTTATTAAATTTGGTTTGGGCACCTAGGCTACAATACCCCTGCTTATGAAATGGTGAGTCTCACCTGTTTTCCTAGATAATGATCTACCCGATAGATCTCTTCTTCTTGGAAGAAAGTTTGCATATCACTGGCCAGCTTCTTAGCAGACTCATAGTCGTGCCCAAAGGGCTTCTCCAGCACCACCCGTAGCCATGCTCCAGGGGGAGGCCGGCAGCTGCCATTGATGTTCTGAGCAATGTTCGCATAGGCAAATGGAGGGACTGACAAGTAGAAAAGTCTGCCAGCTTCATGAAGATCTTCTTCTGCTAGTGAAGTGAGGATGTCCTGGTGCAGCGCAGTATAGTTCTCAGCTGTCTTCAGTTGTCGGTAACGGGTGAGCTTCAGAAACTGGTCCTTCACAAGGGCGCACCGGTCCGCCTCGACATCAGCCGGGCAGCTCAGACCCTTAAGTGAATTGAACAATATGGCCTCGGCTTTTTCTGGAGCGGTCAGTGCAGCTCCATGAAAACTGAAGGTGTGGCCCCTTGAGACTTCGTTCAGATAGAGCTGGAAGAGTCCCTGCCATAGGTATTTTTTAGCCAAGTCTCCAGTAGCCCCGAGAAGAATAACGGATACGTGACCCTTTTTTCTGCAGGTGACCGCAATCGTGCCAACCAGGAGCAAGACACAGAGAGTCCTCCAATGCATCATGACTGACACTGTCAGGCTGGAAAAAGAACATTTTGTTAAAAGTTTGCCATGATAAAAAAAAAGAAAGATATTAACCGCTTAAAAGAGAACTATAGGGGGCGTGGCCAGCAGCCGCATGTAGACGGACGTGACCGGGAAGAGCTCTCCTTCATTCTCCTTTCCAGGACGTAAAGAAACGCCTTCAACGCCTTCACCTTGCCTACTCCATGATTTATCCTGCGAGGCTCCGAGTGGTTGCTGAGGGAGAGATGCACTTCTTTGATCACCCCTCTCAAGCCTCATCCTGGCTGGAAAGGTTCGCTCACCGCCAAGGTCCGGAGGCCTGATCGAGTTTCCTCTGGAAGAGCTATGAGCCCCTTTACCTATTGTTGCTTTTTCAAGTTTCCTACAGGCACTGAGCTCTGTCTACGCAAGGTAGCCGACATGTTTCCACTGTTACTGTGAGAGGAGATTCCCTTCACGACTACATGACTTCCCTCCTTCAGCTGGAGTTACTGTTACCTGCTCACCCCGGGCTGTTCCGGGTGATGCGGGCAGTTGCTGCCTTCCCCCGAAGGCCTACCTGCGTGGACGGTTTCCCAGGTGCTCCACGTTGGATGTTCCTGTTTTTTTGTTATTTTGTTTTTTCTCCCCCTCCCTTTTTTGACCTCTCTCCCCCCCCTCCGAGGTGCCATACATCTGGTAGCTACTGTTGGACATTTTTGCAGCCGCATGGTACTATGCAACTTTTGTGATACTCTCCACCTCTCACCGTATGCCATGATTTTTATATGTCTGCTCCACTAACTACTCTGGTCTCCTGGAATGTGAGAGGTCTGGGAGATGCAGTTAAGAGACAATCTGTCCTCAATCATATCCTCCGTCTTAAACCCTCCATTATCTGTTTGCAGGAGACCCATTTAACTTTAGAAACCTCGAGCACCCTGAACAGACGCTTCTGCCAGGTTAGTTATCACTCTCATTACTCCTCTTATTCCAGGGGAGTCTCCATTCTAATTCATAAGAATCTGCCGTTCTCCTGCACACAGATTAGGGTGGACGATGCGGGGAGGTATGTGTTCCTACATTGTCGTGTTTTTGACTTGCATTGTGTTATTGCCTCTGTTTACATCCCACCGCCATTCTCCAGTGATGTGCTCAAGGATCTAGCCAGATTTCTAGCAGATAAGCTGCCACTCCCGGTCCTCGTAGTGGGGGACTTTAACAATGTCATGAACGCGTCCATGGATAGATTCCCCTCTAACGCGCTTACTGCCTCAGTACTTGACACCCCCTTTAGCAATCTTTGCCGGGAATTGGGACTGCTTGACTTGTGGCGGCTGTCCAATCCTGTCGACTTACAGTATACCTGCCACTCTAAAACTCATGGCTCCCTCTCGCGGATTGACTATGCACTGGGAACGGCTGATATGGTCCCCTATACCTCACAAGTCATCATACACCCCAGATGCCTATCGGATCACTCCATGATCTCTGTCCAGCTCTCCCTGCGCAGGAGCAGGTCTACGCTCCCCTGGCGCTTTCATCCTTTCTGGTTGACACTGATTACAGAGCACGCATCACTGGAGAATGACGTTTCATTCTTTTTGTCGGTAAACACTCCCTCTGCACCACTGGGGGTGGTTTGGGACACATTAAAGGCTTATGTTAGGGGAGCTCTTCTTAGGAACATCTGCTCTATTAAATCCAGGACTAGGCGTGAATTGAATTTGGCGTACCAGAGGGTGGCTGACAGTGAGAGGGCCTACATAGGAGATCCCTGCGGTGATACAGAGGGTGCTTGGCAGACTGCTCAACGCTCACTTGGTACCCTGCTGGAGGCACAATCCCAGAACAAA